TTACGGTAAATTAGGTCAAGTTACTTTAGCATATTTCCTTAACTCTTATAATTGCCGTTTATTGCCAGTGCTATAGTCGCTTTGTAACAGGACAGGTGTTTAATTAAAGGTAGGAAGGAGGTACGGGGTGGCAGTGATGGTGTGAGGAGACGAGAGGTAGAGAGAGTGAGTGGGGGGAGAGAGGGAAGGAGGGAGGGAAGGAGGGAGAGAGAGGGAGGGAGAGAAAGACACATTAGGAGAGAGAGAGAGAGAGAGAGAGAAAGAGAGAGAGAGAGAGAGAGAGAGAGAGAGAGAGAGAGAGAGGAATGAAGGATGGGAGGAGAAAGGAAAAGAGGAGAAGGAAAATGACTTGGGAGGGTGTAAAGAAACAAGTGAGAGAAGGAAGAAAGAAATAAAGGAAGTGAAAGGGGATAATGAAAGCACAAAGAAGGAGAATGAAGAATAACAATGGAATGGATAAGTTTAGAAATCAGGACAAGACATCCACGGATCTCCCTGGATTAAAAGGATCATCTTATTCTTAACGTGTAGGGAAGCTCAAGTGTCTCACCTGATGACAACACCCTCTAAATCTCCCCCAAAGACTTACAAATCCGCACTCAAATCCGTCCAAAGAGTGTATGAGGGTGAGTGAGTGAGTGAGTGAGTGAATGAGTGAGTGAAAGAGTGAGTCAGTGAGTCAGTGTGTGAGAGAAAATGTATTGAAGTCCTTTTGGGGATTTCTGACAGAGTGGGATAAAATCCTATCGAAATCCGGTACAGTAAATCCCCTTTTAAGATACACAATGATCCCTGAATCTCAGTTGAGGAATAGACAGTAATCCATTAAATCCCTCTAAGAGTACACAGTAATCCATTAAATCCCTCTAAGAGTACTCAGTGATACATTAAATCCACCTAAGAGTACACAGTAATCCAATAAATCCCTCTAAGAGTACTCAGTGATACATTAAATCCACCTAAGAGTACACAGTAATCCAATAAATCCTTCTAAGAGTACTCAGTGATACATTAAATCCACCTAAGAGTACACAGTAATCCATTAAATCCCTCTAAGAGTACTCAGTGATACATTAAATCCACCTAAGAGTACACAGTAATCCAATAAATCCCTCTAAGAGTACTCAGTGATACATTAAATCCACCTAAGAGTACACAGTAATCCAATAAATCCTTCTAAGAGTACTCAGTGATACATTAAATCCACCTAAGAGTACACAGTAATCCAATAAATCCTTCTAAGAGTACTCAGTGATACATTAAATCCACCTAAGAGTACACAGTAATCCATTAAATCCCTCTAAGAGTACTCAGTGATACATTAAATCCCTCTAAGAGTACACAGTAATCCATTAAATCCCTCTAAGAGTACTCAGTGATACATTAAATCCACCTAAGAGTCCACAGTAATGTAAATCCCATCCGAGGTAGAGGTGGATTCAATGTTTACATCCCATTACAAGTTGCCAAGTGTCATTTTTAAAAGTTCCCTCGTGTAAACATTGTCAGGTAAACAAACCCTAGCTCTCCACAGTGTCATTTTTAAAGTTCCTGCGTGTACACATTTCGCTCTGTCAACAAACCCTTACATCACACCTCTGCCCAGATGCCAAATACCGAGTCACGCCTTTGAAATGTTTTTGTGCGTGTTTTTATTTTTAATCACAAACTGGCAACAATGTCAGCTTAGTTTTCCCGCGTTTTTTTTTTCGCGTCTATTTTCGGTTTGGTCTTTTGTTTACATTTTGAGGTGATTTATAATTGTTGTTTTTTTTTTGTTTTTACCTTCGTTTTGTTTAATAGTATTGTGTGTGTGTGTGTGTGTGTGTGTGTGTGTGTGTGTGCGCACCTATACAACACTCTCCCCTTCCTCATTTCCCGGTAGACTTCACACACACACACACACACACACACACACACACACACACACACACACTTTGTACCATTATGTTCCCTCTTCTGGCAGTACTGTGTATTTCCCTCAGGTGTTTGTTTCCCCTCACCATCTTCTCGTATCCATCAGTCCCTCACTTTACCAACTGTCCCCTTGTCCTCGATGATCTTTCCCCTCTCTGGTCGTAGGGTTGGGTACTGCAGTAGTCTCCCCTCACTCCTTCACTACCACCCTGCCCAGGTGTGTGTGTGTGTGTGTGTGTGTGTGTGTGTGTGTGTGTGTCATAATGATGATAATAATAATAATATATATGTATATGTAAATAATAATAATAATAATAATAATAATAATAATAATAATAATAATAATAATATAATAATAATAAATAATAATAATAATAATAATAATAATAATAATAATAATAATAATATCCAGAATGCGTTTCTTTATTCGTGTCACCTAGTTAATATTTTTTCTTTCAAACCTAACCTAACTTAACCTAACCTAACCTAACTTAACCTAACCTAACCTAACCAAACCAAACCTAACCTAACCTAACTTAACCTAACCATGTGACGTCCATTTACCTTCTCTAAATTTGCATAAACAGACTCAGTTTAACGTTACTCTTATTAATATCAACACAAGGGGATTAGTTAGCGTACAGGTGTATAATCGTACGTTTGTCTTCAGTGAACGCATATCAGAGGGCGTTTAGTAGTTAGTGCTATTGAGATTACCGTGTGTAGACGAAAGTGTATAAATGAAGAAGAAAAATTGCAGTTATCGTGTGAGATCTTATGTATATTGTATAATTTTATTTATTTCAGAGGTGTGTGTTTGTGTGTGTGTGTGTGTGTGTGTGTGTGTGTGTGTGAACCTTGATCCCAAACACATGTCTGTATAATACCCTGATCCCTGACACACACACACACACACCTGTCTCATTCCATCATTAACCCCTCCAACAGGTGTCATGGATGCGTCACGAGGACCTACACATCCTGACGGTGGACAAGTACAAGTACAGCACGGACGGTCGGCTGAGTGTGGCGTACGACGAGGAACAGCACGAGTGGCTCCTCAAGATCCAGGGAGTGACACAACACGACGCTGGGAGATACGAGTGTCAGGTGTCAACCAAACCGGTCCTTAGTTTCATCGTCAATCTGGAGGTCGTAGGTGAGTGTCATGTCTTATTCTTCCTCCTTCTCCTCCTCCTCCTTCTCCTCCTCCTCCTTCTCCTCCTCCTCCTTCTCCTTCTCCTCCTCCTCCTTCTCCTCCTCCTCCTTCTCCTCCCCCTCCTCCAGGTAGTCTCCAGGTGAGGGAGGAGTCACCGGGTTCCTGTGTGATTTGGTTGTGTTGACCTGGATCGAGTAGTATCTGTCTTCTCTGTCTGTCTGTCTGTGTTTACATATCTGTCTATCTATTCTTTGTCATTCATCTTATCTATCTACATCAATCTTCTCTTATCTATCTATCTATTTATTTATCTATCCAACCATCCATCCATCTATTTACTGTCAATCTATAATCTAATTACTTCACTTTAATGTACTTGTGTCCCTATTCTCCCCCCACCCCTCCCCTCTCCTCCCCCCACCTGCAGTTAGTACAGGTAATCACTTTACAATGGCCTTTTAAACACTGATCCATTATGAGTTTAAACATGTCAGGTAAAACTGAAAAAAAAGGGTTGTCGGGTTACCTTGTGATAGCTATTGTTTGAGCCTGTTATAGCGTTATTTCCCGTCCCTTTTATCTGATAACGTGTGTGAGAGAGAGAGCGTAGGGATGGAAATTAATAAAGTAAAAAAAGAAAGAAAGGAAGAAAGAAAGTAAGAACCCTAACCATTTTTTTCTACATCAACTCAGCCTAATAAACACCTAATGTCAAATTCATCACTATTTATTACTTTATTTTTTGCATTATTATTACTTTTTAAGTATTATTCTTACTTTTTAAGTATTATTATTACTTTTAAAGCATTATTATTACCTTTTCAGCATTATTATTACTTTTTCAGCATTATTATTAATTTTTCAACATTATTATTACTTTTTCAGCATTATTATTACTTTTTCAGCATTATTCTTCAGAAGTTTAATTACAGAATGATAATGTAATAATGCTTTCTGTCTGTTCTATATTTCAGCTTCTTGTGTCTGGGTCCCTCACAGTGTTAAACAGTACGATGGCTTAGCCTTTGATACCGCCTTGAGTACAATACCATGCACGGTGCTGTCAGAAGTGAATATTTACTCCTTCCTTCCTTATTCCTTCCTTCCTTCTGTCCGTCCTTCCTTCCTTCCTTCCGGCCTTCCTTTCGTGCTACCTTCCTTCTTCCGTCCTTCCTTCCATCCTTCCTCCTTCCTTCTTTCTTCCTTCCTTCCTTCTTCCGTCCTTCCTTCCATCCTTCCTCCTCCTTCTTTCTTCCTTCCTTCCTTCCTTCCTTCCTCCTTCCTTCCTTTCTTCCTTCTTCCGTCCTTCCTTCTTCCTTCCTTCCTTCTTCCGTCCTTCCTTCCATCCTTCCTCCTTCCTTCTTTCTTCCTTCCTTCCTTCCTTCCTCCCTCCTTCCTTCCTTTCTTCCTTCTTCCGTCCTTCCTTCTTCCTTCCTTCCTTCTTCCGTCCTTCCTTCCATCCTTCCTCCTTCCTTCTTTCTTCCCTTCTTCCTTCCTTCCGTCCTTCCTTCTTCCCATTACCTCAGTAATTTCTCTCCCATCAACAATTATAAAACTCCTCTCTATCTCCACCGCTAATACATCTCTTGTCCTCACACTAACCTTCACCTCTCCTTCTCCTCCTTCTCCTCTTCCTCCTTATACTCTTTGTAGTCTTCTTCTTCCACCTCCTCATCCTCCTTATCTTCCTCCTTACCCTCCTTCTCTTCCTCGTTGTCTTAATCCTCTTCCTCCTTATACTCTTTCTCGTCTTCTTCCTCCTCGTCATCCTCCTTATCTTCCTCCTTACCCTCCTTCTCGTCCTCGTTGTCTTAATCCTCTTCCTCCTTATACTCTTTCTCGTCTTCTTCCTCCTCCTCATCCTCCTTATCTTCCTCCTTACCCTCGTCATCCTCCTCGCCCTCTTCCTCCTCCTCCTTATACTCTTTCTCGTCTTCTTCCTCCTCCTCATCCTCCTTATCTTCCTCCTTACCCTCCTTCTCGTCCTCGTTGTCTTAATCCTCTTCCTCCTTATACTCTTTCTCGTCTTCTTCCTCCTCCTCATCCTCCTTATCTTCCTCCTTACCCTCGTCATCCTCCTCGCCCTCTTCCTCCTCCTCCTTATACTCTTTCTCGTCTTCTTCCTCCTCGTCATCCTCCTTATCTTCCTCCTTACCCTCCTTCTCGTCCTCGTTGTCTTAATCCTCTTCCTCCTTATACTCTTTCTCGTCTTCTTCCTCCTCCTCATCCTCCTTATCTTCCTCCTTACCCTCGTCATCCTCCTCGCCCTCTTCCTCCTCCTCCTTATACTCTTTCTCGTCTTCTTCCTCCTCCTCATCCTCCTTATCTTCCTCCTTACCCTCCTTCTCGTCCTCGTTGTCTTAATCCTCTTCCTCCTTATACTCTTTCTCGTCTTCTTCCACCTCCTCATCCTCCTTATCTTCCTCCTTACCCTCGTCATCCTCCTCGCCTTCTTCCTCCTCCTCCTCCCGTCAGCTCTTCTTCAGTATCGATCAAAAGACACCAAGATGATCCACACTCGAATTGAAAACCCTTTGAGAGGTTTCCGATGGTACATATGGAAGCCTTTAGCCTCAAGGTGGGGAGGATACGAGGAGTGGAGTTAATAGTGAAGAATCCAGCCTCTTTAACCGTGGATAATGTTACTGGATATACTGTGTGAACCTGGTAAAGAATCCTATTAGATTGGGGCATCAAAACCCTCCTCCCTCCTTCAGGTTCCTATAATGACCCCGTGTATCCTGAGATAATTAAATGAGAAAGTAACAAAATATATTCCTGAGAGAAGTACATCCTGTGGGAAAAAAATAATTTGAACACGAAAAAATTCACCTTACTACTGTGTCTCTCTCTCCCTCTCCTTCCCTCTCTCTCCCCCTCCTTCCCTCTCTCTCCTCCTCCTTTCCTCCCTCTCTCGCCCTCCTTCCCAGGTAGATAAAGTACCTAGGAAAGTCTTTAAGGCTGGTGTAATGACGGTATATCCTGGAGAAAAAAAAATGAGTTTGAACACGAAGGAATCACCTCACCCCCTCCCCCTCCCCCTCCTTCCCTCCTTCTCTCCCTCCTTCCCAGGTAGATAAAGTACCTAAGGAAACTCTTTAAGGCTGGTGTAATGATGGTGTGGCCTGGAAATAACATTACAGCTCATACAAGTTAATGATATTCATACTGGACTGCCGTAATGGAAGGTAAACACACTGTGAAGGAAACTCATGAGTGTGTAAAGTGACTGCGTTTCCGTGGACTGACCCGTGGTGGTGGTGGTGGTGGTGGTGGAGATGGTAGCAGTGGTGGTGGGGGGTGATAATGGTGGAGATATATGTTGGTGTCTCTATTATTACACTCTCCCTCCCATTTTCTGTTATGAGAGCCAATCAGATTGTCTCTAAGGGTAAAGGTGAATCATACCTGTGTTATTTATTAATTAATTTAACTTTTACCCTTTATGTTACCTGGAGGAGTAATTTGTGGCTTATTATTTCCACCTAAGTTCTTCTCTTATGTTGTTTATTTAATTTTTTTTTTTTTATTTCCAGAGTTATTTAAGGAGAATAGAATAAATGGTTTGGTTTTGTTATTCATTCAGTTTAATTGTCTTGTGGTTTATCTTTCTGGTTTATGATAAGGTATTTTTTATGAGTTATTTATCTAATTTGGGTTATGTTTGGAAGTGTTTGTTTTATGATAGTTTTATTTGTTTTAAGTCTTTTCTTGTTTCTTGTATGATAGTTTTATTTGTTTTAAGTCTTTTCTTGTTTGTTTTATGATAGTTTTATTTGTTTTAAGTCTTTTCTTGTTTCTTGTACCAATGTTTCGATGTTTTATTTTTGGTCTCAGGGCAGCTTGAAGACCTGTTGACTCTCTACTGTTACTCCCTCTAATTTCTCTGTTTATCTTTGTATGTTATTATTTAATGACTTCATATTACAGGTATTTTACATTGTGTTATTTTGGGTAGTTTTATCTCTTACATAATGAACAATTATTAATTAGTTTATTTTGGTTTATTCTAAAAAATTTGTTTCAGTGAAGTTTTTTTCTTAAATGTGATTTGTTATTCTGAGTTAGTTAGGTAATGAGATGTGTCTTTAGTTGGTGGTCTTAGGGACGCTCCTGAATACACAATAATTTTGACCAAAAGTTGGGGAAAAGTTTTCTACAGTCGGGTATATTTTGATCGCAAACTGGCCAAACTTTCTCGTATATTCAGGTGAAATTTAGCCTCAGGCAAGTGAAACTTTTCCCTGGACTTGAGAGAAAGTTTGGCTAAAATTGGGTGAGATTCTCCCTCCAAATAGGATGACAATTTGAAAAGTAATTTGTCTGTCTTTTGTGTGTTCAAGACGCCCCGCCCACCACCACGCCCTTCCCGAAGCTGCGAGACGCCGAGAAGCCTGCCGACGCCCCGCGGGCCGAGAAGCAAGGTGACGCCCTGCCTGTAGTGCCTCACTGCGGCACCTGGTGTAGTGCTTCACTGCGGCACCTACCTGGCCTGTGCCCCACTGCGGCACCTGCCTGTAGTGCCTCACTGCGGCACCTGGTGTAGTGCTTCACTGCGGTTCTTGTCTGTAGTGCCTACCTGCGGCAGTTGCCTGTAATGCCCCACTGCGGCACCTGCCTGTAGTGCCTCACTGCGGCACCTGCCTGTAGTGCCTCACTGCGGCACCTGCCTGTAGTGGCTCACTGCGGCACCTACCTGTAGTGCCCTACTACGGCACCTACCTGTAGTGCCTCACTGCGGCTCTTGCCTGTAGTGCCTCACTGTGGCACTCACTCACCACTGCATGTAGCTCTACTGGTGCTGTGAAAAAGAACTGTACCCCAGCGCCCATTTTAGCACCCAAGGACGGCTGGATAAGTTAACTCGCTTTTCTAATGAACTAACGCGTGTGTGTGTTTGCCTGGACTTCAATGCTTAATTAATGGTACCATTTACTGGAGTTGATTGATTGACTAACCGTTGCTGCCATATCTTCTGATTGACTTAGTAGTTGAAATTGCTTGGGTTGACTCACTTAATCATAGTATTAATTTACACTGATTGACTTGTTCATTCCAGTTGCTTCTAGTGAATTGGCAAATAAATATAAGTTGCCTGCACTCATTTCCTCACTAACATTGTCAATTGTACCAGAACAGACTGACTATTGGTGTGAGATAACTGGACTGATGGTCTTGCAATTCCTATTTGCATATTACTGGTATATATAACTATCTAGTCAATTGCTTGTTAATGATCGTTTTGAGGTTCTGACTACTTGGAGTAATTATCTGCAGGTGAAATGAGCTGCAATTCTGATATACCCCTATACTAACCTAAGCTAACCCTACCATACAATTAAGATTGGTGGTTATTTATGACTGACTCTCTCAATGATTAGATTAGGTTAGGGTGGAGCCGATCATACCCAGGCACCGAATAATTGACTTGGGATTGGACGCACTTGTTTCTGATTGGTCAAGAATTCCAATCACTGTTGTTGATTTATTTATTCTGATCGTACGGTGTTGTATATGTCCTTCTTGATCTGAATTGATGATATTTCCAATTAGTTTAAACTACTGAATCACACACACACACACACACACACACACACACACACACACACACACACACACACACACACACACACACACACCATCACGGGTCCAATCATTTTACAAAATACTCTGGAGGGAAGGTGAGATATAGGGGAAAAAAAATTGAACTGGAAATCACGTAGAGAGCGAAGCAGGGATACGATGGCCACCCCTGAGCTACAACAGGTGGGGGAGGGAAGGAGGGAAGACCTGCTGGAAAATTCGCACCGGTAGGACTGAGGTGGAAAATGTCTATTGGAGCATTTGACTCGGGAAAATATATATGGTGGATGGAGTAGAAATGTGTAGGGAGGGTGAGGGAGAGTGAGGGGGAGGGGTGGGTGAGGTGAGGGTGAGGGAGAGGAGGGAGAGTGAGGGGTGGAAGGGATGAGGGGTGAATAGATGGCGGGATGATCTAGAAAATTGTCCACGGGGAAAGGGAGGGGAAAGGAGGAAGGGTGAAGAGAGGGAGAGAAATAGTTTGGAAAAGAAGAGAAAGGGAAGGAGGATGGGGTGAAGAGGATGGGGAAGGAGTATAGAAAATAGGGAGAAGGGGAAGAAGGAAAGGAGGAAGAGAGGAGAAACGAAAGGAGGGAGAGGAAGAAGGGAAGGAGAAGAATTAAGGGCATGTAAGGAGGAAAGATGGGAGAGAATGAGAGAAGGGGAGAGAATTAAGAAGAAAGCGAAAGAAAACGAGAGAGAGAAAATGCGAGAAAGAAAGTTATCCTGGCTGGCTTAAAGGTTAACTAACACCACCTGAGCCTATACCTGCCCTAGCGGAGATGTGTACACCCACTACCAAAACTCCCTAGACACTCGGCAGTACAATAGTCTCACTGGCGGCTAGCGTATAGGAGAAAAGTGTTGAAGTATCATTTATGTAGACCAATATTAAGGTTAAATTAGGTTTGGTTACTTTCACTTTGGGGTAGGTTAGGTTGCAGTGGTTAGGTTAGGTTAGTTTGGATAGGTTAGATTACAGGTCGGGTCAGGTTAATGAATGAGGTGATAGTGAGTTTTTAGGTTTGTGTTATCAAGGATTCTATTTATAGGTTGGTCTTGTACTTCTTCGTCAGGTGTTACAATGTACACTTTTATTTTGCTAAGTGTGTGAGTTGGTAGTAAGGATGGTGTTGTGTCACTTATAATATGTTGCACTTATTAAGAAATGTTATTATAGAAAACTTTATTACGTGGATAAGATGTCAAGGAGAATGGTCTGTGTTACGTATCATTCTTTACCTACCTATTTAAAACACGTTATTGTGTACACTTTAAAATTAGGTTAAGTGGTTAAGTTAATAATGAGGATGGGTTAGGTTACACACGAATTTTGTTGTGCTTATTAACATAGTGATTACCTACATTTTTTAAAGTCTGATAAGTGGCGGAGTCGGCAATGAGTCTGGGCCAGTAGTTGCCACACACCGCCACCATCGACGGCTGTCTGGACAAACCTGATTTGCCAAAACACAAATTTCACGTCGCGGCTTATCCTTGCTGGCTGCTGCTGCTGCTGTACCAAGTGTCGTGATTTATCACTGACGGGAATAATCGTCGACGTGATTAATTAGTTTCGTTAATAATTATCGCTTGATGGGCACAGCAGCAGCGACGGTGGTGGAAAGAAAACGATCAGGCGAGAGAAAAAATTGACTGGGTGGTTCATGGCAGCATTTTCGCCGCGTCATAGCCTAGCCAGGATATGATTGGTCAGTGTAGAACCCAGTCAGGACATGATTGGTCAGAATCCATTGACGTTTGTTCTGACGTGTCATACAATTATTGGTTGTTTCACCTCACCAATCAAGACGTCAACTGATTAACATTAGAGTGGTAAAATTGTCAGTAGGTTTTAATTAACTTTGGTTTTAATTTAATTTCAGTTAAGTTAAACTGAAAAAAGTAAAAGGACCAATAATGGAAGCCATCAATAGTCACCAAGGACCAATCACCACTCGTGTTCACCTGTATGTATTGGACACTTGGCAGCACCTGGCAGTTAAGTTCTTGAGGATCATTAGGTGAAGGGAATGGATTATTTTTTTATGTATTTTTTTTCTTCATTTTCTGGTTCTGATAATGTCATGAAAAACAGCGTTATTAGATATAAACAATCGTATATATATGACCCACAAGTACAGGGTAGATGATGCCAGATGTTCAGGGAATTTTGTCCGCAACTGTATGAGGATTTTTTTCATTCTATCAGAGCGATCAGTAGTGAAGTTATCAGTGTGGCTATATTTCAGTTGTAGTACAGGTGTTAGGTTAGGTTAGGTTAGCACTGATTTTATTAACTTAACGTAGGTTTACTTTGTGTGGATAGGTCAAATTAGGTTAGAATAGATTAAGATTAATATTGATAGGTTAAATTAAGTTCCAATTCATTAAGGTTTCATTTAGTACATAGAAAACAGTACCATACCTAGTTTAGTGTCGTTTTTTAATTAGGAATATTATTACAATTACTTAAAAAGATAATTGTTCGGTTTAATTACGAGTTTTTACTAAGTACTGAACATATTTCATTTTTGTGTTGGTAAGTCGTATTAAAAACGAACCAAAATGAAAAGTAAACAGTCGAATTAATGTTATTTTAAGCTTCCAGTGTACAGAGTAAATATTCATAACTTGTATCCAGATTACTACCGGTGGTGACTTGTATATGTCGTGTATAAACTTAATATTCATAAGTTTTATCTAAATTAGTCTACTGCCTGTGGTTATGGTGTGTTTAGCTTGTAAGGCTTTCTATCTAGCGTTCTTTAGGGGTATTTCAGGTGTGTGTGTGTGTGTGTGTGTTGTGTGTGTGTGTGTGTGTGTGTGTGTGTGTGTGTGTGTGTGTGTGTGTGTGTGTGTGTGTGTGTGTGTGTGTGTGTGTGTGTGTGTGTGTGTGTGTGTGTGTGTGTGTGTGTGTGTGTGTGTGTGTGTGTGTGTGTGTGTGTGTGTGTGTGTGTGTGTGTGTGTGTGTGTGTGTGTGTGTGTGTGTGTGTGTGTGTGTGTGTGTGTGTGTGTGTAAAGAAAACAACGTTTAATATGTGTTTCTGGACCCCAATTTAGAGTCATGCCAACATTAGTTTACACTTGTCACATAGACCAGGAGGGTGTTGTCCTGTACATAAGAACATAAGAACATAAGAAAGTGGGATACTGCAGGAGGCCGACTGGCCCATACAGGGCAGATCCCTTTCACACCCATCCCAGCACTTCCATGTGCCTATCCAACTTCGTCTTGAAGCTCCCTAGCGTCCCCGATCCTACTATAGCACTCGGTAGTCTATTCCACATATCCACAACTCTATTACCAAACCAGTGCTTGCCTATATCCTTTCTGAATCGGAATTTATCTAATAATAATAATAATAATAATAATAATAATAATACACAAATTCAAAGCCCCTTGCATCTCATTTTGATAAACGGATGGTGAAAGATATTCCTAGTTTAAATGGATTACCTGCTGCCACACCTATAGTGACGAACATCTGACTGACTCTCTCTATCTTGAGGTGACCAGCTTATATACAACCCCTCTGAGACACAACACCAAGGAGAAGAGAGTTAGTTTTAGGAGTACGAGTGAACCTTGTACAGAGAAAAATTTATTGCACTGGTTAATGTCTTATGATTGTTTACCCTTGGCGGCGAACCCAGGTACTTCCCGCCAAATTTTACGCGCGCATGACGTCACGAGATAGACACAGCATTCTTAAACGGAGGTCCGTATAGGGTGAATTTTTCCCCTTATAGTAAGCGAACATATGTAACTAAGGTAGAGTGGCAGTGCAGTTTGTAAGGCCATTAAAATCTCTTATTTGTTCCCTGGCAGAGTAAAACTAGT